GGTGGGCAGAGAGACAGAGAGATCAACAGAGAGAGAGGGCTGTCAGCAGAGAGCTGGATGCAGGGCTTGAACTCACAAACCGTAAGATCATGACCTAAACTGAAATTAAGAGTCAGATGCTTAATTGACTGAGTCACCCAGGTGCCCCTAATCTTAATCTTAATTCCCTACATACTGTCCAACTTTTTTTTTGCCTGTTTTTCCATTTGAAGACTGAAAATATTTTGCACTTATTGTCTGCATCACTTACAAATTGAGGGATTCAATTATGAAAATTATTATCTTAAACTGTGATACTTCCATAGAAAATATTAATATTTTATTCAAAATATGGTGATAAGTTTAAATTTTATCTCATAAGACAGCTGAGGACAGGAAAAATATATAGTATCATTTAGAGCCTAGTGGAAAATAAAATACCTTAGTAAATATATACAATCACTGAGCTCTATTACTCACTTTTTAAATGAAGTATTAAAAATTACTAGAAGCAGTCAGAAGGCAGTGGCCCTTGCAAATATATATTATTTCAACTCTTTTGTCCTTTAGTCTCACCTGAAAAGTGCATATACCAGGGTAGCAATCAAAGCGAAACTGACCACAACTGCCACAAGTACTTGGTCACTTACTCCTTCTATGACTGAATCATCATCCAGTTTCAAACTTTGAACCTCAGTGTGATATTTGGCCATTCCAAGTCTAAAATATAAAGAAACAAGACGAAAGTTACAAATGACACAGTAAAAATGAAATATACTAATCAAAACAACATAAATATAACTGACTTCTAAGGTTTTTAAATTTTCAGAGTGCCCACTTAAGGAAGGTTGTTGCATTAACTACAACTCCAGTGAGGATTCTCCCTTTGAGTTCTGTAAAATTTGCCAGACACATTATTTTGAGGAAAAGAAAATTCTACTTCCTTTAAGGTAAACAATTACTCTAATTTGTCATCCATTTACAGTTTTTAAAAACAAATTAAAAAATACCGTTTCTTCTTCAAGCTCAGTTCCTTTAATCTTAAAGGAAAAAAAGACATTCCTCATGCTCAACAGCTCTTCTCATTCTTGAATACCAAATCAATTCTCCAAGTAAATCAGATCCCTCCTCTCCCTTACAGCACTAAATGTGTCCTGGAATGCACCATGTATAGATAAGGAAAGCAATATATTCTCTTCTTACGTAAATATTCTTATATTATCTAGCTTAGTGCTCGGTACACAGTAGGACCTAATAAATACATGTTTAAATAAAAGTGACTTACCTTACTTACAGTGTTAGTAATTTGAAAAGTAAAAGACATTTAGGCTATAGCACATTTATATCTACTAAGATTAGTTGAATTAATGAAAATTCTGGTGCTTGAAAACAATTAGCCTCACCTGGAACTAAACTCAGCTTATGGTTCAGAATTCTTTGAACTGCCTGGAATATGGAATCACTCTGAGGCTGCATTTCCTTATGAAGAGAAGAGGGAGGATATGAAACTCTGCTTCCCATACACTAAGCTAGAGAAAAATGGTAATATTCAATTTCTATAGGTATGAAAGGAAATAATCCAACCACATCAGAGTCCAAGTATCATAGGTAATTCTTATTTTTTATATGGCAAAAGAGAAAAATTTAGTCTCATAAGACACCACAAGGAAAATAAAGGAAATATTCAATTAAATATATATGACTATTTATAATTAAAATAAAATCCTGTAGAGGCACCCGGGTGGCTCAGTTGGTTAAGCATCTGACTTTGGCTCAGGTCATGATCTCGCAGCTCCTGAGTTCAAGCCCCGTGTCGGGCTTTGTGCTGACAGCTAGGTGCCTGGAGACTGTTTCAGATTCTGTGTCTCCCTCTCTCTCTGTCCCTTCCCCCTTATGCTCTGTCTCTCGCTCTCAAAAATATATACACTTAAAAAAAAAAAGAAAATTAAAAAAATAAAATAAAATTCTGTATATATGTACCTTATTGCACTGATAAGTTTTATTCATTAATCTAGTGAGTCTCTGTTAAGAGGAAACTGTGAAAGTCTAACACCTTTAAGAGAATCTGAACTAGCAGCTAAAAACGAAATTACCTTATGGAAGCAAACAAACAGATCAAGGTCAGTTTCCATCGGCTTTACACATAATAACAGCCTAATATATCAGGAACTTTCTAATGATAGGTTTCAAATAACCATTATGAAGGCCACACACCAGGAAACTCAGAAAAGCAGCTGTAACTTCATTATTTTCATTCAAAAGAACAGTTAAATGAACTGCCAAATGAAGGTGAAAAAACAGCCTCAAGTAGTGTAGGGGTGGGTCATGTAGTATTTAGATATTTATTTTTTCAGGTTTCCTCTTCTTATATTTTATTTTTTAAAAGATTTAAGTAATCTCTACACCCAACGTGGGCTCAACTCTACAAGCCCAAGATAAAAAGTCACAGGCTCCGGTGACTGAACCAGCCAGGTGTCTGGCTCTTTTTAGAGATGCTATGTACAGCTGTATCAAAAGTCCTAAGAACAGTCAGAACTATTTCTATCTGCAGAAAGATAACCAAAATGCTATCCCCCTGTGTCAAGATTTCCCACCTCTAACTACTGAAAAGTGAAAAGATTTTTCCCTATGCTATACATTCAGGCAATTCACTACTGAATAGGAGAATTTGTCACCCCAAAATACGACTTTTGGTTTAAGAATTACTTTAGACTGGTTATTAAAAACAAACAAACAGCAAACAAAGGAAAGGCTCTGAAAACTAAGCAGAAGCTATCCTATTTTTAAGAGCCATTTATGAGTAAAATCTCCATTTGTAAGGGTGTCTCTCTCTGTACCGGAAGAGGAGGACTAAATCTCTAGAAATTTTTATGAATGGGGCAGGGACTTAAATCTGCATAACATTACCCTTGTTTGCTGTGCTTTTCCTGGGAATCTCTCATAACTATGCTCCCTCCCTCCCCCAACATCTTTCTTTGGTCTTTAGCTGAAGGTGGTATATAATGTGATGGTTTGGGACATTTTGGAGTTACTCAGTTTTCCTGGGTACCTCCCATGTACGCAGAAGGTTTATAAGTTATTAAACTTCTGGGGTTTTTTCCTGTTAATTTGTCTTTTATTACAAGGGAGTCTCTGCCAAGAACCTAGTAGAAAGATAGTTATTTTTTTCTCCCCCACACTCCTTGTATTTTTTTTTTAAATGGGTTACACTTGTTTTTGTGTTCTTTCAAGTGCAATCAATGGTAATGTGACTAAATTCCACTGTACAAATTATCTATTCTTTTAATCCTACTGTATATTTAACCTCTATGCAACTAAGATATTGCTTATGATATTGCTTCAGGCACACTTCCAAGAGCTCAGAGAGCCAGGATACTCTAACTCTTGCATGGCCATATGAAGTTATTTGCATAATTTTACAGCAAAAGTTCCCAATGTTATTAAAATGAAGACACAATACCACAAATTCTAGTATCCCCAAAGATGTTTGGGCTTAGAGAGGAGAGGTTGGGGGGAGAGTGCTGATAAGTTTCTGAGAGGAACAGAGAGGTCAGCTGCATTTTCTGGTTACATGGAAATCCCAGCTAAACCTAGAGCTTTCATATGGAAAACTACTAATCACTGACCTAATTGTTGCGGGCTGCCAATAGCTCAACTTCCACCAGTAGTTTTTCTTATGATCAGAGTTAAAAAACAAAATAAAACAAAACTGCAGGAGCTAATAGCTCAAAAATGGGGTATTATAACATCACTCTGTTTGGAAAGAGGCTGATCTAAGATTACAGAGGATAAACACTAAAAAGAAAATTTTCTACTTGAGGAGATGACATAATATCTCAATCTCGAAAAGTCAATCTTATCTGAACTTCAGTTCAACTTTTGCTTTTCACAGTCAGGTCTTGTCTAGATCAGAACAGTGCTCCTGGTTTTGTTCAATGGCATTGGTTCTCAACTCAAGCCTAAGCACTGCTACTTGGACATTAATAGTCCTAGATTTTAGTTCCAATTCTACTACCACAAACTGTGCCCTACATAAACTCTAATGACCTCTCATTTTCTGCAAAATGTAAAAACTGTGCTTGAGGATTTCTTAAGTTCCTTCCCGAATTACATCTGATTCAGGGTTTTCTGAATTAAAACAAAACAAAACAAACAAACAAAAAAACCTCAGAAAGATAAATACAAGTTAAAAGTGGTTACACGTGGGAAATAGACCTGAGAGCCAGCCTTTCACCTTTCCCAGGACACAGTTCTATAGTATTCCTTTAACCATAAAAATAAAAGCCAGTGCCTAACTTCCTCCCTTGAGTGATGAAAATGAGGCTTCAGTGCTCAAAGACAAAATGTCTGTGTCCAGTCCCATTCTTACTTATCACCCTAGTCACTCTATTTCCTGATGGTCGCCTTCCTTCTAAAGGTATCTATCAAGGGCACTCTAAGACACTCACAGAGACATCTTATTCCTTAGAGCAGTGCACAGGGAATATTACATGTGTTAGGGGCCACTAAATGCTGCTTACTTGAAACCCAGAAATAAAGTTTATAAACTTATAGAACATGATTTCTAATGTATTTCAAAGGATCCTATCAAATATGAAGATAAGAGTTACCAGTACTTCATTTTTGTTTGAGATTCACAGAAACAACACACCATAGATCTTGGAGACAGTGTGGCATAATTGATAGAAGCCTGAAGAGGAATGGGTTTCTAGCTTGGGTTTTGCTATTGATTAGCTGAGTCTTATTAAGAAGTAGCTTCATATATTAGAGAAGCATAAGCTTTGGAGTCAGGCAACTGTGTACTCATGTGAAGTCTGCATCTCAACTCCCTCATATGTAGAATATGTAAAAATAATTTTAACCATATCAAATGCCCACTTTAAAAAGCAATTTCCACACCCAACGTAGGGCTCAAACTTACAACCTTGAGATCAAGAGTTGCATGCTCTACCTAGTGTGCCAGCCAGGTGCCCCTCAAATGCCCACTTTTTGACGAAAAAAAGCTCCTTGTTTTATGGAGTTTATAATGAGATAATGAAGGTAAAGCATTTAGCATATTGCTTGTTACACCATACAGACTTTCAGTAAACAGTTGTAATACTTTTTTTTTTTAATTTTTTAAAGTAATCTCTACACCTAACGTGGGGCTCCAACTTACAACCCCAAGATCAAGACTTGCATTCTCTACAGTTTGAGCCAGCCAGGCAGCCCTTGGTTACTATTATTAACAACTGTCAAGAAGAACCACTCTAAAACTTAGCCATGCATTCCCTATAGCTGCACTATGGTGCATCTCAAACTCTCTTTAATCAAAGCTCTAAGTATGTATTCCCTGGGAAGACTTGGGAACATGGCCACATAAGGACACCCCCAAGTTTATCTGAATCTGATAAACAGCTATAGATGACAACTAGTCTCCAACTAACCAAAGTAAGGAGACAGCTAAGGCAAATTATACTCACCTCTCAACTTGGCCTTTTACAAAATTTTCAGAAAAAAATAAGTAAATAAAAATAAGGGAAATACAGGAAATTCCATAACTTCCAAAGGAGAAATCCTTTGTCTTTTTACCCAAGCTCATGTAGAAACATGATAGTCACATGACTTCCACAGTTACATCCAAGAAGCTTTTAATATAATTTCCTTCATCGAGGATAATAGGAGCCACAAATGAAATCTTAAGAACACTGCAGTATCATGCATAAATGCATTATGGGTGAGCAGTCAAGATTGAAAAAGGAGGCTTAGGTCATCTGTGTCAAAGCCTTAAAAACCTGAGCAGCTGGAGTAAAGGTGTTCACTACACCACAGTCCCTCCAGAAAAAGCTAGAATTTGGTTCTCCACATCAAAACACAAGTTGTGGGTGAGTCAGGCTTAAGTCAATGTAACATATACTTAATGACTTTACATGTCTAAGAAGGGTAATGGTCATTAAAGTGCTGGGGATTCGACAGAAACAACCTAGTATGGAATGTAGGAACTCTGGTTAGACAGAGATCCAGAGGCAACAACAGAAGAAACAAAGGCAGTCAAGATACATATTTATCATTTCTAAAGATTTCTCTGCCCTTGGCATAGGGAAGAACATTTTTTAAAAAGACCATTGAGAAGACTTCAGGTAAGATTTTTTTACATTCGCAAAATGATAAATCATCACGTGTCAACTGTTAACTGGTACTTTGTAAGGCGTCCTTAAAAACTCACTGCAATTCTTAATGCTCACGGACAAAACCTACTCCTAATGGGAAAAAGGGGGGCTCCAGGACTGACAAACCAGAGTAAAGATGTGCTCTAGAAAGTTAAGTTTGCTGCACTCCAAATAAAAGTTTGGCATTATCTTATTAAGTTAAGCATATTCTATGACTCAACAATTCTCCTAGGACTCCAAGGCATGTATCCTAAGGAAACCCTTACACATTTGCACTAGTATCCAGGTGTAAGAATGCTTACAGCACTGTTTTTAGTAGCCTCAAACTGGAACAAAAAATGTCCATTAACAGAACGTGTACACTGTTATAATCATGCAACGGAATACTAGACAGCAATGTAAATTACCTATAAACAAATTTACTATTAATTCAAAGCCACAAAATACACTGATCCCACTCGTTAGAATTCAAAAACACGCAAAGTAAAACTATTGTTCAGGCATGCATATAGTAAAGCTCTACGGAAAAGCAAGAAAGTGAGTATCCTAAAAGTCAGTCTAGGGAGGGAATTGTTCTCAGGAAGGAACATTACGTGTGGGTAGAACTTCTGAAATATGGGCAGTGTTCTTTTGTTTTTATCTGGGTGTTTATTAAATATTTTTCTTTAACCATGTACATTGTATGCACTTTTCTGCATGCTATGTCGCATAAAAATATACGGTACCCCAGCAGAAATCCACAACTCTAAAAAGGTGAGAGAACTTGAGGACAATCAAGCAAGCCATTAATTAAGACGGCCAACTCCTAGCTCTGCGCTAGGAGAAACAGGCCCTAAGAACTATCGGGGTCCTCACGGACTAACTGGTGCACACCCCCTCCCTAAAGTAGCCTAAGTTTTCAGGGAGTCGAGGCTCACCGCGACCCAAGAAGGAACGGCTGGCTCTCTTCACCCGGCCAAGCACCTAGAACCACCAGACACCCGCCACGTCGGCCCTTCCGCTGTCTCCGGAATTCCGGGCGGGAGCCGGGCGACTCTGGGGTTTAGCCCCAGGCTTCCCGAAGGAAGTCGGAACCCCTGAGTCCGAGGCAGCAACTCCCCCGCCCCGAAGCCCGAGGCGACCCCTAGGGCAGTCCCGCCCTCGTCCGAGCCCAGCCGGCGGCTCCCGCGGGCCCGGACGCGGGTGGAGCGTGTAAGGTCTTGCCACAGCCAGACGGGACCGCCGAGGGGAAGGGCGCTACCTCTCCGGAGAGGATACCTCCGCCAATTCGAGTGACTGAGACTACAGATTACTTTCCTGGCCGCCCAGCCCCCTCCCGAGCAATCACTACGTCTCTTTTTCACATTTGAGTGCGGACACAGGCGCGCACTGCGCACACTTTCTGCCAGCTTCCGTAAGGGTGCCGAGCGGACAGGCGAAGGCCGTTGCTCGCCGCCACGCCGCCGCCAGACGGCATGTGCGCTGCGCCGACGTCGCGGAGCACTGCGCTCTCAAGGGGGCAGCAGACGGGAGCGGTGGTGTGGGCGGCGATGTCAGCCGCCGGCAGCGCGACAGGCGTGTCGGCCGCGGCCTGGCTCATGGCGCTCTCCGGAGAGGGGTGTGGGGGGCTGGGGCGGGGACGAGCGGGGCTGGCAGGCAGCAACGGTGGCGCGCGCAAGCGCGCGTCCCAGTGAAAAAAAGAAGGAGGGGCAGCTGGGTGACGGTGCGTGGAGCTCGCTGGCAGCGCCGGGAAGGTATCCGCGCCCGGGGAGGAGAACGCGGGCCAGGAGGCGGTCAACTGCCCGGACCTCCGACGCACCCCAGACGAGCGGCAGCGGCACTCTCTGGAGAGGATGGAGGCGCTGCCAAGCCCCAGCTGGGGAAGCATGTTCAACGGGACCAGTGGTGCGGTGGAGCTGGCAGAGAGCCTTCTCGGTATGTGATGACTGCGGGTTAGGGGAAGACCCCCCCGGCCTCGTCTTTCCGGATCCCCCACGCTTCGCAGGGGCGAGCTGGGCGGCGGTGCCGTCACATCCGGGGCCTGGGGCGGGCGGAGCCGGGGACGCCAGGCCGCGTCTACCCGCGGTGGCCGGGGCGGGGGAGGCTGCGGATCGTCTGGGCGCTGGGGGCTCGGCCCCGGGTCCGAGGGGAAATTTGCCAGGCTTGGGGTTTGAGGTGTTGGCTGCGCTCCGAGAGGAAACCGGCCCTATGGAGGCTAATGATGGGGTGCAGGCGGCACTGTGATTAGGATTGTTGTTGTTTGCAGCTGATGAGGCGCTGGTGCTTCCCTCTCGCGCTGCCAGGGACACCGAAGTGTTGGCTGTCCCTGCGCCCCGCGCAGCCGGTAGAGGCACTCGGGACCCTTGGTTACGACGCTCCTCGCCTTTGTTGTAGCGTTCACGGAGGACGGAGGTTAGCCCCTTGAGGGATGAGCCAGGCCCACTGGAAGAGAAAAGTACTTTGAAGGGAAGATAGGAAAAATATGAAAAGGCACCCCGAGACCGTATTTTAAGTGAGAGATGCGCTTCAGCGATTAGAAAGTAAGCGGTGTGGAGGTACTTGTTAAAGGTATAAATATAAAAACAAATCTGGAAGATATGTGGGGATCAGTAATGGAACTCGACATTTTGGGAGCAACGTTGTGGGATTCTGATTTTAAATTATTAAACTCATTAAAATGGTCACGTTTTAAAGTCACTACATGTTCAATTCTGATGCTAACAATTGTGCCTTTAGCAGCTTCTTCGAGAGCTGGACTTAAAACCCATGCTGTGTGTGTCACTAACTCTGGTGTCAGTTTTTGGTGTGTGTGTGTAGAGGTCTGCAGACCCACGGGATAAACCTTTTGCTTTTTCCCAGAGTGTTACTCATTGCTAAAAATGTTAAACGTCATTTCTAGAATAGGATGTTGATTGAGGTGACTACAGCATTTGGGTTCATGTTAAAGGTAAGACGCAGAGATTGTGTTCAGCGGTGCCTTGAGTTACAAGTTCAAATCCTTGAAGTATAGATGTCACTCTCCTGTGTGGGAGCACTTCCGTAGAGGGTTTAGAGAAGCATTGCCTTAGGTAGGTTGTAACAAAGGTGGTGAAAATACTCTTAAGGTTTTCATAATGTGTTTTGTGTCAGGATTCAGATTACGTCTTCTGATATAATACATACAATGGTCGGGCTTGATATACTCTGTAATTTTTTTTTATGTTAGGCTATTGGGATTTCAAGGGTTTTGTTTTTGTTTTTTGCAATAATACAGTTAACATACAACTTACAAATGTAATGGGTTCCAGCTTCAAACGAGGAGATGGATTCCACTGCTGTATTTTAGAGGAGAGAAAAACTGATAAACTGCATAATGTGGCCAAGGCAGGGGAGAGATAAAGGAAAGAATGACCACATTCTTTGGTACTGTGGAAGAACTAGATTTGGCAGAGGTTGTAAACAGAAGATTGAGAATCTTAAGGTGTGCTTTTTGAGTCTATACAAGTGCCTCCCTCAATGCTAGAAAAAGAGGCAAGAGGGCAAAGATGAGGAAGCTAACTGAATCTGAAGTAGGGCTACATTGCTTATAGTCTAGAAAGACAAGTCTTGGAAGTAGAGGTGTATTTGAAGAGCATCCACAAAAAGATGGTAATCGGTGCAATTATTTGAGTGAGAAATGCTAATAAAAATAGAGAGGAAGAATCATAAAGGGAAGTTTGAAGGGATACTAACAGAAGCACACAATATAAGAGCATCTATTTAGAATCTGGTAAATATAAAAAAAAAAAAACAGGTATCAGATACTAGAGAGGTCAGGGAATATGGTATTGTAGAAAAGGATTAAAACATTTTTTTTCAATGTTTATTCTTGAGAGGGAGACACACACACAGTGCTAACCAGGGAGAGCAAGAGAGAGAGGAAGACACAGAATCCGAAGCTGATTCCAGGCTCTGAACTGTCAACACAGAGCGGGAAGTGGGACTCAAACCCGCTAACCATGAGATTATGACCTGAGCCGAAATCGGACACTTAACCAACTCCCTTAAAAGGATTTTTGAAATGTCACTGGAAAGCTCATCAAGGAAAATTTCTGGAGAAAATAAGATTGGAGATTGTCGGGGTACCTAGGTGGCTCAGTCAGTCAAGCATCCGACTTTGGCTCAGGTCATGATCTTCTGGTCTTTGAGTTCAAGCCCCAGATCAGGCTCTGTGCTGTCAGCAGAGAGCCTGGAGCCTGCATCCTGATTCTGTGTCTCCTCCTCTCTCTGCCCCTCCCCTGCTGGCACTCTGTGTGTATCTCTCTCTCTCAAAAATAAACATTAAAAAATTTTTTTTTTTTAATTAGAGGTTGTCAACAAAACTGGAGAGCATAGTCTACACAAAGATTTACAATTCTGAGATTTTGAAACATTTTAAAACCTTGTGCATTGAAATGTTTTCAAAATAAAGTTGAGTTTAAATGCTGGATTTGTTTTCTTTAACTTGTCATTATAAAAAGCAGAATAAATGTGCAGAAAATGTTTGAGGTAGCTGAAAGTGTACATTTAGTCTAGTAGGTCCCTCATATCTGGAGGCCAGCTTATGCTGAAAACAATTCCAAAACCAAGTGTAAGAGAAAAAAATGTATGCAGTACACTCCAAAGACAAGACTCCCATTGGAGCACCTAGCAGGCTCAAATCAGTAGACCCATGTGACTCTCAATCTCAGGGTCTTGAGTTCAAGCCCCATGTTTGGCATAGAGCCTACTTAGAAAAGAATAAACTCCCATTTAGACTGATTTGCTCTATTTTACGTAAACTTCTAGCCGCCTTGGTCACGTGGGTTCTGTGCACACAGAAGGTTAGAAGGTAACTGTAATATTAGGCAAGATACAAGACAGCTGCTAGTGACCTAGAAGATCCAAGAACTGAAAGTTCAGTCTGGGTGATTCACCCTTTGAACTGACAGCCTTATAGAATTCAAGAGCCTCCATGCTCAGTTACTGAAGATCATAATTATGATCTTAAATATCAAAAGTTTATTTTCACTACATAGCATTTAGTACTAGATAGGTGGTATATAGTATACTTCAAAAATTCTTCCACTAGGAATAGTTAAAATAATAAAACCTCAGGTGTCTAAAGGGATGTATGTTAGTCGCCTATGCAGAATTCATTTCTGTGGACATGGAATTGCTTTAAATGCTGGATAAATTGTTATCGTATCAAGGAGCCTACTATCTCAAGAACCAAATGTTCCAAATTTTTGTTGAAAGCGGAATACTTAGGAAAAGACAAGGTACCATCCTACCAATGGAAAATATTTTAAACTTAAATTCCCTATCAGAGTTTATGCAGCAAGCAAGTTCAGCAGGATGTGCTTGAAAATTTCCACTCTACCTCCTCTCCCCACCCTCTGAGTCAAAATGTATTCTTACCTGTTAGAGAAATCTGCCCTGCCTATTACACCTGTCAAGCCTAATTTCTTGAACTTCACATGAAAAGATTGTGCTTTCCTGGGTTTTAGAAACTGAAAAACCAGAAAAAATCTGGAACACTACCAGTTAATGGCAAGAAGCTGAGTGGGAAAAGAATCGTCACATAGGCTCACATTTCTTCTGGGAAACCCAGCAATATTAACATATCCTTGTAATTTTCATATTACTTAGCAGCCAGTGAAATGCGTACTAGTGTATAGACTTGAGGAAGGTATAATTATTGTGATGGTATCTCCCACATTCCATTCTCTCTGCTCTGCCTAACTCTTCTACCAACAATTTTTGTCCTCTGATGGAGGAATAGGAAATCCATGTACAAAAGTTAAAGCACACTTTTTTTAAAAGCTTTAATTTTCTTTCTTTTTAAAAACTGAGGGTCAACATAAAATGGTAGGCAAGAGTATAGGTTCTGACATTAGACTACCTGGATTCAAATCCTATCTTTGTCTCATATTAACTGTTGGTGACTTTGGATAAGTTACCTTATCTCTGTGTTTGATCAGCATCATTGGAGGCTCATTAAAACACTGATGGCTAGGCCCCATGTCCAGAGTTTGTAATTCAGTACGTCTGGGCTGGGACCTGAGATTCTGCATTTCTAACCAGCGTCCAGGAGATGCTATTGTTAGTGGCCTGCGGAACCACACTTTGAGAACCACTGCTCTAGAGCAGGGATTTTTAACTTTAACATTACTTACATTTGGGGCTGGATAATTCTTTGTTGTGGACAGTACCCTGTTTATTTGAAAGTAGCATCCCTGGCCTCTACCTACAAGATGCCAATGGCACCCACTAATTTGTTAAAAACAAGAATGTCTCATAGGGAGCAAAATCACCTGTGGTTGAGCACTGTGGTTCTAGAGATACTAATTCCAGGTGATTTCATGTTTTACTTTTCTCATGCTTTTGTTGAGGAGGGTGAAGTGGAGGTTGGATAGTGTTAATACAGCTTTTTGGAACTGAGAGAGAGATTATGACCTTTCCCATAGAATTTCACATCTTAATGCTTTTAGGTGTAATTATCTTTAAATTTTACTGTACTGCTATCCCAAAATATGCTGTAGATGTTAACTCAGAGGTTATGAGAACTGGTAGAGGAGAGATTTTTTTTTTTTTTTAATTTTTTTTTTTTAACATTTATTTATTTTTGAGACAGAGAGAGAGCATGAACAGGGGAGGGTCAGAGAGAGAGGGAGACACAGAATCTGAAACAGGCTCCAGGCTCTGAGCAGTCAGCACAGAGCCCGACGCGGGGCTCGAACTCACATACGGCGAGATCATGACCTGAGCCGAAGTCGGACGCTTAACCGACTGAGCCACCAGGCGCCCCGAGAGATTATTTTTTAAAGTACAATTCACATACCATAAAATTCATTCTTTTAAAATGTGCAATTCAGTGGTTTGTAGTATGATGACCAGGTTGTGTAGCTATCACCACTATCTGATTCCAAGAACATTTTCATCATCCCAAAGGAAACTCCATAAAAACAGATTTTCTTTGGGACTTGCTCTACTTTATCTCAGAGCAGAGATGAACATCGTCTACCCCCATGATCAATTATTTACCTCAAGACCCAGTACAGAGAAAGCCACATTTAAAAAATCAGGATGAAGATAGTTTTTTCTAAATCCCAAGACAGAAACAGAATTTTAAAACTAAATTATTTAAGAAGAATTATTAAAAAATTGAAGAATTATTGAAGAATTGCCTGCTTTATTGAGTTTTTTCTTCTGATTGGCCAGAGGCAGTTTTTTAATCTGCTTTGGATCAGAAGGATTCAAATGCCCAGTGCCCCACCACATAAGAATTATTTGGTAAGCTTGTTAAAAGTAGATTCCTAGACTTCTGCAATTTCCCAGATGATTCTGATGTATACCAGGTTTGGGAATCACTGCTTGTAAGTTTAAAATACATAATGTGCATTCATTTTCTCATATATTCTTTTAGCAGCACATCTCCCCCTAATGTATTTTTCCCAATTGCTAGATTGAAAAACTCATAATAAGAGAAGTAAAGTAGCACACCCAGGTTCACACAGCAAATTAGGGGCAAAGCTGGGGATAGAATTAGTTTATTACATTCAAAACATACTGAGGGCTTGTTCTGTATCAGACATTGTACTAAGATTAGTGAGAGATGAATGAGATGTGGTTCTCACTGCTGCTTTTTCATTCTAAACAAACCTACAGGAAAGATTGATGTATCAACTGTAAAATGAAAGGTGCTTATCTCTTTAAACTACATTGTTGTTACCATATTACCATTGAAGAGGCAACTAGAGATAGTATGGAGTAAACTTTAATCTCAGTTCCTGCAGAGGTATTTATTTGTTCCATTTATTCATCTACTAATTATTTATTGAACCCCTACCATCTACTAATTATTTATTGAACCCCTGGTAGGGGGTTATGTCCGGGAATGACTTTGGGACTTGAGGTTAGTGTCCGGGAATGACTTTTCATTGCTTCTCCCAAATGGATAGCTAGATAAAATACACTTGCCATATGCTTTAAGGTAATTCCCTTAGTTTTTGTCACCATAACCACTACTGCCCACAAGACTCTCCTATATAGAAAATATGGAAAAGCTACTGACTGCACTTGTCAGCCTTTTTATTTTTTAAAGGTTTGATAGATGATACAGTACAAAGAAGTAGACACTCATCTTCTGTTAGCAAGAGACTAAATTACTAGACTGTTTGTTAAGGGCAGTTTGTCAATATTTATCAAAAACCTTAAAACGTACATACACTTTGACTAGTAATTTCACTTCTGAGAATGTAACCCAGTAAATAAAAATGTGTGAGAAGAACTGTTATTCCCAGTATTTCCATTGTCACTACTTAGTTTGATCTCATCGGTGTTCATAATGTAAACTTACTAAAATAAGTCTCTGTGCCTGCCTCTTTCCCTCCAATCCTTTCTTCATACTGCAGCCAGTGTGGTTTTTATGCAGTGCAAATCTCATTTCCTGCTTGGGGTCCTTTGCCTACTCCCCATTGTTCTTAGGATAAAGTCCTAACATGGCTTACGAGGTTTTGTACAATAATGCTTCCTTCTTTAGCCCCATCTTTCACCATTATACTCTTTTCCTTGTTCCATCTCTTCCTCCTATTCTTGCCCCCCATCCCATGGTAAGCAAACGTTTTTCATTCCTAGACTGCATCCCACTCTCACTTCTAATCTTTGTGTTGCTCTTTCTTTTTGCTAACCAATAAACTGCAAGAGCATGGCCTACCTCTGTCTTTTCTCAGTGATTTTTTTTTTTTTAAGTCTTGGTTGCACTATTGGGTATAATCATTGTTGGCTTGGCTGTATTATCTTACTCGTGGAAATACTTTCTACTATTTCTCAGCCTTGTCATGTTGACTAGTACAAAGTTAGTTTTTGGGTTTTTTTTTTGCAAATTTCTAATTCAGAATACATTTTTTTGAGAGAGAGAGCACGCCTGCGCACATGCACACAAGTGTGGGGGAGAGGAAGAGGGAGGGATAGAGAGAATCCCAAGCAGTCTCCACGCCCAGCAAGGGAATGAGATCTCACAACTGTGAGATCATGACCTGAGCTGAAATCAAGAGTCACTTAGTCAACTTAGCCACCCAGGCGCCCCTAATTCAGAATACATTTAAATTCAAAAGTAATTGAGGGGACAAAACATAAGAGACTTAAATATGGAGAACAAACAGAGGGTTACTGTAGGGGTTGTGGGAGGGGTGATGGGCTAAATGAGTCAGGCGCATTAAGGAATCTACTCCTGAAATCATTGTTGCACTATATGCTAACTTGGATGTAACTTTAAAAAAATAAATAAATAAAAATTAATTGACTATTTAACCTACTGCAGTGAATGTAACTTCTACATCTGTTTAAAGATAGTTTGGTTTTAAGTAAAAGAAGTCTCAACTTGGCAAGGCTTAAACAAATTTATCTCATATGCTTTGAGACTTCAACAGTTTTTAATTCAGTGGCTCAGTTTTGGCCTCAGGGACATAGTTCTTTGTATCCTTCTTCTGTCATACACTGCATTGGCCTCATCGTAAAATGGATTCCATTAAGAGCCAAGATGACTGCTTGTGACCATTGAGTCAACATACGTGTTCACATCAAGAGGAGATTGGCTTTGGGGTTCCTGACTGGCTCAGTCAGTAAAGCATGTGACTCTTGATCTTGGGGTTATAAGTTCGAGCCCCATGTTAGGTGTAGAGATTACTTAATTTAATTTAATTTAATTTAATAGATTAAAAAAATAGATAGATTAAAAAACCACTAAATTTAGTTTAATTTAAAAAGAGGAGATTGGCTTTTCTTTCCCAAAAGCTCAAGTAAGCTCTTTGGTTCAAATTGCCTTTGCCCTGTCAATCTCAGAGTCTGTCACTGGTAGAGGAGATGAAGATATCAGGACTTGCTTAGATTGATTATCTGTGATGAGAATGAATGCTGGGAAGTCACCAAGTGCCCAGCACAATTTCTTTCCTACCCAAGGGAAAAAATTACAGTAAGAACCTGCAGGAAATTTCCCACAAGGGAAAATGTTTCCAACTCTTCCACTTTTTAAAATTTATTCCTACTCCCAAGGTGAGATAATCACAAAAATAAGCTAAGAAATCTTCTGTGTAGTTAATCATGGAATCCACCGAACTCAACTCCCCCACCCCTCCCTTTTTTTTTTTTTCCCAGATCCAGACATTTAACGTGGATGCACCATGCCAGACCGTAGAAGATTTAACGAATGGGGTTGTGATGGCCCAGGTTCTTCAAAAAATGTAAGAATAAATTGCTTTGTCTTTTTGTATGTTCTTATATGTGAATATTTATTAGATTGAAAATATGGACAAAAAATAAAGGGTTCATATGAAACGTGTGTTGGATGTAGAATAAGAACTGTGTTGGTGAAAATTTTGATGGCATGTACTCGTTTAGGTACAGATTGACTGGCTGAAAGTTCAGTTAGGGCTTTAATTGTTATAACACTCCAGTAGTTTTAGCAGAATTATTTGCTCTTGTGTTTTTCAGCATAAGCTTGGCAGAAATTTTCATGTTAGTGATGAGATTTTCTCATTGTATCAGAATCTAGAGACTTAATCCCTCTAAAGGATTTTGCTCAAATGTTATCAGTGAGGCCTTCTCTGACCGCTCATATAAAATAAGTGACAACCATTCCCTTTTAACTTTTTGTGTTCTTTGAAGTATGTAACACCATCTTATATAACACACATTCATTTGTTTTATGCTGCTTCCTCCACATCCATGTACACACAGACACACACACACACACACACACACACACACACACACACACACTCACACACAGTGTAAGCTCCACACAGAGGCAGGGATTTGTTTTGTTCACAGTTGTATCCTAGCACAGTGTTTGGTTTTTGGTTGAATCATATGAAAATGCCCTATGTAGGTCACAAATATCATAAGTTTTTCAAGATTCAGTTTGCATCACGGATACTCATGTCTACTGAATGACTGAAAGAAGGACATACTTGTTTGGGATATACAAAACATACCTGATTCTTTCCTTCTAAGTACTTGAAAACATAGTAGTTGTAAAACTGATGTTGTATGGCTATCTTCAACTTTTGATCTGGGAAATTTTCAAATAAATCGTAACATGTAAATTTAAAAAATCATTAGGTTTGATGTGATTTGAGAGAGATACTTTTTTTTTAAATTTTATTATTGAGAGAGAGTGAGTGAGAGAGTGCACACAAGCGAGCAGGGGAGGGGCAGAAAGAGGGGGAAACACAGAATCTGAACAGGCTCCAGGCTCTGAGCTGTCAGCACAGGGCCCGAAGCAGTGCTTGAACTCATGAACTGTGCCGAAGTCAGACCTCTACTGACTGAGCCACCCAGGTGCCCCATAGGGAGATACTTTTGTCTTTGAAGCACTGAGCACTCTGAGGCCTCATGATATTAGAGATTTGCATATCAATAAATGGGATTTCCTGCAGTTGTGTTAAGAATTAATATCATCAGTAAATGAATTTTTGCTGTTGTTCACTTTGCAGTGGACTATGTAGAGTTGCCCATCTGAAAAGCAGTTCAGATGCCTGCATTTCAGAGAATCTATCAGTGTGCCTTTAGTACTGGGGACTCATGCTTGAAAACTAGCTTGCTGTCACTTTCTTCCAGAACTACGTGGCACATCTCTCCAGATACATAGGCGCATAGACTTCTTGATGGAGTGTGAGAAGGCTTATTTGAAACCTTGGATCAGGCTTGGTTTTAGCACTCTTGAGAAGAGTGAGCTTGTGATTTTCATGGTCACCTCTGAGTGATGCCCTAATAAGTTTTAGAAGTTGAATGGTCTAGAGAGTTTCAATGAAGCTAAGCTTTCCAAGTATATGTCACTAAATGGATTTTTTGTTTAAGTTAATTAGGGTAGGATTTCTGTCACTGCAGAAACCAGGACTGTATGTGTATATTGTTTTGCCAAACCAAGATCATAACATACAGTATTTTAATTTACCAAAGTCTTGTAGGCATATTTTTCATCAGTACTTAGTTTTTTTTTTTTTTACCTTTTTCCCACAAAATGCCTTCTGTTTTTCCTATTGTTGTGGTATAACATACACAGAAAAGCATAATAAAAAAAGTGAATTTGTGTATGTACATGTTGTATGTATTTGTGTGTGTATACACATCTAAGTAACCACCACCCAGATGGTTCCCTCATGACCCGTCCTAATCAATAACCCTTGCCCCCAAATAGTCATGATTGTGACATCTACACCACTAATTAGTTTTCTCTGTTCTTGGGCATCTTATAAATGGAATCATACAGTATGTACTCTTGTGTCTGACTTCTTTCACTCAACATAATGGCTGAGATTCATTCATATTGTTGCATGTTATTTATTTTTAATAACTGTATAATATGTATGATTTCAAGGAAGTTCAGTTCCTCCTTGTCCCTGTGGTATTTATTGAATGGCTACTTTGTGTCCAGCACTGGTAATACAAGGGTAAGCTACAACCCACAGGGCAGGTACCTTCAGAGAGTTTATAGCCTTAGGAAAAACAGAGTTTAAATAACTATGAAAACAAAATTGCTATTATAACCAGTGCTCCAGGGCAAAAATACACAATGTTATGAAAGTTTGTAAAGAGGCTTATTTAACTTAATCAAAGAAGACACAAACATTTACCTGAATAAAGAAATTAAATCTGCAAGATGATTGGTAACAGATTTCTTAGCATGTGGAAGAGCATACACTGAGGCCTCATAGGCTGATGGAGCATGGTGAACACCACCACGGAGAGAGGGTTTGAGTGATTAAAGCAGAGACAGGGGAGCATGTTACAAAATGAGATTGGAAGGATAGATGTTGCGAGATCACGTAGGGCCTCATGTCTTTATTCCAAGGGCTGTGAAAAGCAGTTGAGGGATTTGGGGTCAGGGAAGGGTTAACAGTCAGATTTACATTTTTTAAAACTTTTAAAAAAAAATTATAGTTAGTTAACGTAGTGTTATATTTGTTTCAGGTGTACAGTATAGTAATTCAGTACTTCTGTACATCATCTGGTGCTCATCACAACTGCCCTCCTTAATCCCCATCACCTATTTAACCCATTTCACTCCTCCCCTCTGGTAGCCATCAGTTTGTTCTTTATAGTTAAGTCCCTTTTTCTTTTTTTTTTTTTTTTTTTTTTTGGTGCCTTTGCTGGTTTGTTTTGTTTCTTAAATTCCACACATAAGTGAAATCATGTGGTAGTTGTCTTTCTCTGGCTTATTTCTCTTGGCATAATACACTTCAGTTCCATCCATATTGTTGCAGATAATAAGATTTCATAATTTTTTGTGGCTGAGTAATATTCCACTGTGTGTGTGTGTGTGTGTGTGTGTGTGTGTGTGTGTGTGTGTGTATGTATGTGTATCTCAATGTGCACCATATTGTCTTTATCCATTCAGTGGATATTGGGTTGCTTCCAAGTCTGGGCTATTGTAGATAATGCTGCTATAAACATTGGGTGCATGTATCCCTTTGCATTAGTATTTTTGTATTCTTTGGATAAACACCAGTAGTGTGATTGCTAGATCATAGGGTGGTTTTGTTTGTTTGTTTTAACATTTATTCATTTTTGAATAAATGGGAGAGGGGGCAAAGAGAGAGAGAGAAAGAGAGAGACACAGAATCCGAAGCAGGCTCCAGGCTCTGAGCTGCCAGCACAGAGCCCAACGTGGGGCTAGAACTCACGAACCACGAGATCATGACCTAAGCTGAAGTCAGAGTATCAACCAGCTGAACCACCCAGGCACCCCAGGGTGTTCTATTTTTAACTTTTTGAGGAATCTCCATATTGTTTTCCAAGAGTGGCTGCACTGGTTTTCTTTCTTTTTTAAAATTTTTATTTATTTTAATTTTTTTTATTTTAGAGACAGAGAGTGCATGCAAGAAGGGGAGAGGGACACAGAGAGAGAATCAGGCTCAGCATGGAGACTAATGCAGGGCTCAATCCCACAATCCTGTGATCATGACCTGAGCTGAAATCAAGAGTCGGGCACTCAACTGACTGAACTACCCAGGAGCTCCTCTCTTTCTTTCTTTCTTTTTTTTTTAATGTTTATTTTTGAGAGAGAGTGAGAACAAGGGAGAGAGAGAAAGAATGAGTGGGGGAACAGCAGAGAGAGAGGGAGACATAGAATCTGAAGCAGGCTCTAGGCTCTGAGCTGTCTGCCCAGAGCCCAATGTGGGGCTTGAAACCACGAACCTCAAGATTATGACCTGAACCAAAGTTGGACGCTTAACCAACTGAGCCACCCAGATGGCCCTCTTTTTTTTTTTTAAGATTTTATTTGAATTCTAGTCAGATTTACATCTTGAAAATATTCTGCAGGTGTAAAATAAATTAGAAGAGGCCATAATGATGAGGGATGATCAATTGGAAAGAAATTTGTAGTAAGTCAGAAGGGAGATTATGGTACTTTGGATTAGAAGGTAGTGAAGGAGATGAAGACAAGTGGGTGAACTCAAAATAGTAGAGAAAGCCAAATGTTGATGATTGGTATGGGAGGTATCAAAATTGACTTTTAAGTTTCTAACTTAAGCAAATACATAGAAGAAGGTGCAAATGACTGATGTGGGAACGTTGAAGGGTGATCTGCTATGGAGGAGTGCTGGATGTATCATGAGTTTAGTTTGGGGGACACTGACTTTGGTGTTGATACATAAGAGAAAATGCCAAGTTCGCAATAGATCACATAGATTAAGAGGGTAGAAGAGAAGTCCACAATCAATTTGGCTATCTCTTATTGAAGACATTATTGTGGGTTAAGTCACTTGGGGAATAGTACAGCATAAGAAGAAAATATGTGTAGCCTGAGCCTTGAAGAACTTTGACATTTAATTCTTGGTTGGAACCTCAAACAGCAGAAGTGCCAGAGAGGTATGAGGAAAGCCAAAAAGGTGGGTGCCAGGCAGAGAGTTGCATTGCAAATTGCAAATCTTTTCATTTTATCTGAGCTGGTAAGTGAAAAACTGTATCTTTCTGTAGTTTAAGTAGAAATTTTAGCAAATATAAATGGATGTAAGTATGTTTCTTGTTATGTAATTTTTTTCTCTTTTTAGTCTTTTAAATCATTTCCTATTAATCTGCTTTCCAGCTTCTAAAATTTTGTTGCTGTTGTCTTCTTTCTCTTTTTTTGTCCATATAGGTTCATGTCCCCCCTCTTTAAAAGACACATTTTTTTAAGAAAAGTTTTGGTTTAACAGCAAAATTGAGTGGAAAAGAGTTTCCAAATGGGATGATGAAAAAGTTCTGGGGATGGATGTTAGTGATGGTTGCACAACAATGTGAGTGCACTTGATACCACTGAGCCACACACTTTAAATAGTTTACATGACAAATTTTATGTATATTTTACTACTTTAAAAAAAGTTTTTACAGATTGAGAGAAAAGTATGGCAAATTCCCACATACTCCTTGCCCCACTATACACAGAGCTTCCCCCACTATCAGCATCCCATACCAGAGTGCTACATGTGTTGCAATTGATGATCCTGTGCTGACACATCATTATCACCCAAAGTCCCTAATTTATTTATTTTCTATTTTTTTATTAAAAAAAATTTTTTTTATGTTTGTTTATTTTTGAGAGACAGAGAGACAGACTGTGAGCTGGGGAAGGGCAGAAGAGAGAGGGAGACAGAATCCAAAGCAGGCTCCAGGCTCTGAGCTGTCAGCACAGAGCCTGATGTGGGGCTCAAATTCATGGACCATGAGATCATGACCTGAGCTGAAGTTGGCTGACTGAGCCACCCAGGTGCCCCCAAATTTATTTTAACTTTCTTAATTTCTTTTATAAATTTATAGTGTGAGCAAGGGAGGGGCAGAGAGAGAGGGCAAGAGAGAATCCCAAGCAGGCTCCAAGCTGTCAGCACAGAGCCCCGATGCAGGGCTTGATCTCACCACCATGAGATCATGACCTGAGCCAATATCAAGAGTTGGTTGCTTAACCAATTGAGCCACCCAGGCACCCCTAAAGTCCCTAATTTACATTAAAGTTCACTGTAGATACGTGTAGATACAGAGGAGTTTTACTGTCCTAAAAATCCCTTTTGCTGCACCTAGTCATCCCTCCTTCCCCCTAGACAGACTCCCAGCAACCCCTGATCTTTTTTACTGTCTCCATAGTTTTGCCTGTTCCAGAGTGTCAGGTAATTGGAATCATAATCATATGTAGTCTTTTCAGATTGGCTTCTTTCACGTAGCAATATTGCCTTTAAGATTTCTACCTGTGACTTGATAGCTCATTTCTTTCTAGTACTTTTCTGCAGCTTCATTGAGATGAAATTGACATATAGTAAATTGTACATTTTTAAAGTATAGCATTTGTTAAATTTTCACCTAAGTAGATACCTGTGAAACTATCACCACAGTCAAGATAATGAATGTGTCAATCACTCCAAAAATTTTTCAGTCCCTCCTTTTTCCACCCCTCTCCCATCTCTAGGCAACCACTGATTTGCTTTCTGTCACTATAGATTAATTAGCAATTTCTAGAAATTTATATACGTGGACTCACACAATATATTCTCTTGTTTGAGGGAGAAGGTATGGCTTCTTTCATGCAATATAATTATTTTAAAATTCATTCATATTATTGCCTGTAATAGTTCATACATATTTCATTGTATGGATATACCATGATCTGTTCATCTGTTCATCTGCTGATGAACATGTGGGTTATTTTAGTTTAGGACTGTTACAAATAAAGCAGCTCTGAGCATTAGTGTACAAATCTTTGTATGGAAATATGCTTTCATTTCCCTCAAGTAAAATCCCGCCTAAGAGTGGAATGGCTGGAACATATGGTTAAGTGTGTTTAATATATATTTTTTTACATGAAATTTATTGTCAAATTGGTTTCCATACAATACCCAGTGCTCATCCCACCAGGTGCCCTCCTCAGTGCCCATCACCCACTTTCCCCTCCCTCCTACCCCCCCATCAACCCTCAGTTTATTCTCAGTTTTTAAGAGTCTCTTATGGTTTGGCTCCCTCTCTAACTAAGTGTGTGTTTAATATTTAAGAAACTGCCAAAGTGTTTCCAAAGTGGATGTGCCATTTGTGGTCCCACAAGCAGTGTATGAATGTTCCTATTGCACCACAGTTTCACCATCACTTGTAAGGTCAGTGTTTTGTGGGGTGTTTTTTAAGATTTTATTTTTAAGTAATTTCTGTAATCACTGATGATGTCGAGCATCATTTCAGGCCATCTGTATATCTTTTTTGGTGAATGGTTTCCCGTAATCTTTTGCCTGTTGTTTATTTAGATTGTTTGTATTACTGAATTTAGAGTTCTTTATATTCTAAATACAAGTCCTTTTTCAGATGTATATTTTAAAATATTTTCTCCCAATTTGTGGCTTCCCTTTTCGTTTTCCTAATAGTGTCTTTGAGAGGCAAAAGTTTTCAATTTTGATAAAATCTATTTTTCTTTCATGTTTTTTTTTTTTATGTTTTTAAAGGTTTTGTTTTTAAGTTATCTCTATACCCAGTATGGCGCCAGAACCCACAACCCTGAAGATCAAGAGTTGTATACTCCACTGACTGAGCCAGCCAGATGCCCTGTTTTTTGTTTTTTGTTTTTTGTTTATTTTATTAAGAAATGTTTAGCAAAGCCAGGGTCACTTAAGATTTTCTTCTACATTTTCCTTTAGAAGTTTTATAGTTTCAGTGCTTATATTCAGGTCTATGATGCATTTTGAGTTATTTTTTGTATAGAGGATTGTTTTTTTTCTTTTTTGCGCTATTTATTAAAAAGATCCCTTTCCCATATTTTCAGGACTTTTGATTATGTTGATTTGCCTAATGACCAGACAGACATCATCCATAGATGATTAAATTCTTACTTGTTTAAATATTTTTTACTAATAGATCAGTCACTAGAAACATTAAGGTGTTCAAAACGAAAACCTATTTTTTCCCTTAAGTCTTGAGGGAACTGTGACTGTTAAATGAATTTTCTATTTTCAACCCACTTCAGAGAGCACAGGATTTAAATTGACTGTGCTGTTAAGCCTGTGATTCTTGGTTAACCTGCAGTATGTGTGCCAAAGAACAATCAGCACTTTTCCTCATCAGCTTTGGCTCTGAAAGAAATCTGGTTCTCCCCTAATGCTACTTGTGCAGGCTTCTCAAGTGATGGCTATTTTTACTCCACAGGCTTTAGAAGTACACTTAGCCCAGAGGCGGTGCTCCTCAGTGCTGTTCCAGACCATTCTCCTTCATCTTCCCTAAAACCCTGGTTTTGAATCTTATGATATCATCCACTACCCTTCATTGTTGCTATCATTTCTTCTTGTTTCTCAACAGTTTTGGATCCTGGCACACGATTGGCTCTTTTCAATACTACTCTTATCTAAATTCTTGGTGATTTGGATATCCTTGCCTACCAGTTTCTTGAACTCTTCTCCATTGATCTTGTCTTCTGCTAGATTTCAGCCACTCATCCCCATGGTCATACCCCGTACCTTATAATTAGTGATAATGTGTAATCCCTCCATAATCTCAGTTTTCTCATTACCACTGTCTGATTATTGTTTCCTGTCTTTCCACCTCACTTCCTCTGGTATCAAGTGTCCAATAATTCTTTGATTTTCTTCTGCCAGTGGGATCTCAACATTGTCCACCTTCATCTCTTTTTCGTTCCTCTTATTTAGCTGAAATTGCATGGTCAATCATAATCACTCCCTTGTGTATACTTTTAGCTTTGCTGCCCCCCTCATATTTGTTTGGCAAAACCACAACTCTGCTTAAATCTACCGTCCCACCAGTTTTACTTCTTACCTATGCAGCTGAACCCAGCTGAAAAATAAAAGCAAACCTGCTGATGGATCTCATTTTAAATTTCTCACCACAAAATTGCAAGTGTTACCTTATGGAATCCCACAGTTGTACTGTGTTGCCCTAGTCTTCCCATTCCCCCAACCTTCCAGATGACTGTCTCACACTTTTCTCTCTTCAAACCTCCAGTATCACCTTCTCTCTCATCTGATCCCCTTAACAAGGTAGGATACATCCTACTTCTCAGAAGTTGAAACAAATGTAAAAGAATTTCCGTGGAATCCCATGATGACGTGTACCCACCTACCAGCATCAGTTTGACTTTGCCTTGCAACCTGTTGTCTACACATGAGCTGTGGGGTTGATAGGGAAGGGTTCTATCTTAAAGTCAGTACCTGTACTTTGTATTTTGCACCCTATTGCCTCTCGCCTACTCAAGATCATCACTTAACCAGTTTGCCTCTCTTTCCTACATCATCACTTTTCCCTTCTCTGCTGGATCGTATCTATTAGCATGTAAGCACACTGTTACTTCTTTTCTCTTTAAAAATACTTCTCATGATCTCACCTCTGTCAATCAATTTCTCCTCCTTTTGTAGCAAAAACTTCTTTAAAGCATAGTCTGTATCCAACCATCTCAGATTCCTTTATTTCTGCTCTCTTTAAATGCACTTTTCAGGCAGGGATTTTTTTTTTCCCAATCATTTTATTAAATTTCACTTTTTAGGGGCGCCTGCGTGGCTCAATCAGTTAAGTGTCCAACTTCAGCTCAGGTCATGATCTCGCAGGTCATGAGTTCGAGCCCTGCATCGGGTTCTGTGCTGACAGCTCAGAGCCTAGACCCTACTTCAGATTCTGTGTCTCCCTTTCTCTCTGCCCCGCCCTGGCTCATGCTCTGTTTCTCTGTCTCTCAAAAATAAATAAACGTTAAAAAATTCTTTTTAATAAAACGGCACTTTGTAGGACCACCAGTTATCTACACATTGCTGATTCTCATGGCCCATTTTCAATCCGTATCTGGACCTGACAGCAGCATTCAAAGTATTTACCTCCTTGTTACCCTCTGGGGTTTTGTTTGTTTGTTTTAATGTTTGTTCATTTTTGAGAGAGAAAGAGAGTCACTCAACTGGCTGAGCCACCCATGCGCCCCAACCTTCAGGGTTTTTCTCCTGTCTCACCAGATGATCTGCATTTCCTCTACTCATTTTTCCTCTTCTATCCTACTTCCTCACACTGGAGTGCATAAGAACTCAGGCCTTGCTCCTCTACTCCTTCCTGTGTTCACTTCCTTGATGGTTTCTTTTAGTCTCATGGATTTAAATGTCATCCATGTCTTAATGACTCTTAAGTTTGTGTATCCAGCATCAATCTTTCCTTTAACTTCTAGACTTAGCTCATTTTCTACTCAATGTCTCCATTTGAGTCTAAAAGATATCTCAAAGTTATATATAAAACTAAATTCCCTGCTTGCTACCCAAAAGTCACTCAGCCAAAAATCTCATTTCAGTTGGTGTTTCTTGCCTTCCAGTTGCTCAAACCGTAAAACTTTCTTTTTCTCCCCATCCCACATCCAACCTATCAAGAATCCTGATAACTGTACTTTTAAAATGTATCTATAAAATATATCTAAATCTAGCCTTTAGCTCTAACTTCCATTTACAGAAAAGTACAGAGGCTAGAGAAACAAGTTAAATTAAATCATGAGGAAACAATTAGGCAAATCCAGAAAGTAAGATATTTCCCAGGGCAATTGACCTAGTCTCCTCAGTAAGTCAGTGTCATGAGAAAAAAGGAAGGAGGTAGACAGTTTTAAATTAAAGAGCCTGAAGAGGTGAGACAGAGACACTAACCAAATGCATTGCATGGTTCTTGGAAATACTGCCATATGCAACAACGTGGATGAACCTGGAAGACATTTATGCTTAGTGAAATAAGCCAATCACAGGACAAATAGTGCAAGACTCCACTTATATGAGGTATCTAAAATCATCAAATGCATGGAAGCAGACATTAGAATGACAGTTGCCAGGAGCTAGCAGTTGGGGCAAGTGGCAAGTAAATATACTTGCTGTTCAGTAAGTATAAAGTTTCAGTTATACAAGATGAGTAAGTTCTAGGGTTCTGCTGTACAACATCGTGCCTATACTTAACAGTATTGTGCACTTAAAATTTTGTTGTAAGGGTAGATCTCATGTTAAGTGTTCTTTCCACAATTTTAAAAACAAACAAATGCAGTGCATGATTTTTCTTGAATCTCATTTGAACAAATCAACTATAGCAGACGTTTTAAGGATAACGTAGGAAATTTGAAAATAGGTTGAATATTGGGTGGTATTTGGAGAGTGTTGTATATTAGGTGTATATCAGAACTATAAGAAAGTGCCTTACTGATTAGAGACATATAGTGGAGTTTTTAGGAGTAAAATGTCAAATCAAATATGGAGCAAATGTTGGGAGAATGTTAAATCTCTATGATTGGCATATGGTTGTTCACCATGATATTTTCCTTCTCTGAATGTTTGGAGAAGTTTTATATTAAAAATTATTACCTTTACTGCTACCACATTGACCACCATTATCTCTTCCCTTTATCATGTTAATAATTCCTGACTGGGGTGTTCTACACTTGGCTGCCCACAGTCTAATGTGAACCCAACTACCAGGGTGATTTTTTTAGTTAGCTTAGAATTCTCATTGGCACCCCGTTTCACTCAGGGTAAAAGCCAATGTACTCATAATAGTATATCCTAAGTGATCTGGACGACTTGTTACCATTCTGATGCCTTGTTTACTCGTGTTCTTTCCCACATCAGTTCCCTTGCTCATCCTTATGCACATCAGGCAACTCCTGCCTTAGGACTTTTACATGATCTCTCATAAATCAGATGTCCACACAACACTCTTCTTACCACCTTCCAGCCTTCACCAATATTTGCTGGTTTTTCAATATATCCTGCCTTGACTACCTGTTTAATATCATCAGCGCCCTTACAGTCTAATCCTCTTATCCTGCTCCATAGTAAGTATTTTGGAAATATTTATTGAATGAATGAATATGGGCTTACAAATTTTGGCTTTGAAATTAAAGCAGCTTTTATCTTTTGTATCCAAGAAGAGTTTACCACTACTCTGTCATTTTCCATCAACAATTTCCCTGATAACAGCTGGATGTCCTGCATTTCAGTTCTGATGCTAACTTCTGAGTTAGCACAGACTCCACAAGTTAAGGCCTCAGTCCCATAAAACTGCCCCCGCTTCAGATGCCAGGGGGACATGGGGTCTTCAGTGCATCCACACTTTTTCCTGGCCAACTACAAATTCAGGAGTTCCTGTGAACTCCCCT